CCTGAATTAATGCCTGGATTGCTTTGAAATACTTTAATATTGAGAGAACACACTGTTCTGTCAATAATAAACATACAATATTCATCAGTTTAATATTAAACATTAGAATTTGCAGAAATTGTGATACTGTCTCCCTACATTGGATTTTCAACCAGGGATGTACTTCCTGTTTCCGTTTATCAATACACTCCAATGACCTTAAGGTTATATGTGGGAAACCAAATGCTCACAAGGTCATCATGGGAGGGACCCAGCCCTTACAAGGTCATTTGTGGGTTACCTAACACTTACAAGGTCATATTGGAGGGACCCAGCCCTTACAAGGTCATTTGTGGGATACCTAACACTTACAAGGTCATTTGTGGGATACCTAACACTAACAAGGTCATATGGGAGGGGCTGGCCCTTACAAGGTCATTTGTGGGATACCTAACACTNTATATGTGGGAAACCAAATGCTCACAAGGTCATCATGGGAGGGACCCAGCCCTTACAAGGTCATTTGTGGGTTCCCTAACACTTACAAGGTCGCATGGGAGGGGCTGGCCCTTAGAAGGGCATTTGTGGGATACATAACCCTTACGAAGATCATATGGGAGGGACCAACCCCTTACATGGTCATTTGTGGGATCCCTAACACTTACAAGGTCGCATGGGAGGGGCTGGCCCTTAGAAGGGCATTTGTGGGATACATATCACTTACAAGATCATATGGGAGGGACAAAGCCCTTACATGGTCATTTGTGGGATACATAACACTTACGAAGATCATATGGGAGGGACCAAGCCCTTACATGGTCATTTGTGGGATACCTAACACTAACAAGGTCACATGGGAGGGACCCAGCCCTTACAAGGTCATTTGTGGGATATCCAACACTAACAAGGTCACATGGGAGGGACCCAGCCCTTAAAAGGTCATTTGTGGGATACCTAACACTTACAAGGTCACATGGGAGGGACCCAGCCCTTACATGGTCATTTGTGGGATACCTAACACTTACAAGGTCACATGGGAGGGGCTGGCCCTTACAAGGTCATTTGTGGGATACCTAACACTTACAAGGTCACATGGGAGGGACCCAGCCCACCCAGCCCTTACATGGTCATTTGTGGGATACATAACACTTACAAGATCATATGGGAGGGACCAATCCCTTACATGGTCATTTGTGGGATACCTAACACTAACAAGGTCACATGGGAGGGACCCAGCCCTTACAAGGTCATTTGTGGGTTAACTAACACTAACAAGGTCACATGGGAGGGACCAAGCCCTTACAAGGTCATTTGTGGGATATCCAACACTAACAAGGTCACATGGGAGGGACCCAGCCCTTACAAGGTCATTTGGGGGATACCTAACACTACCAAGGTCATATGGAAGGGACCCAGCCCTTACAAGATCATTTGTGGGATACCTAACACTTACAAGGTCACATGGGAGGGACCCAGCCCTTACATGGTCATTTGTGGGTTACCTAACACTAACAAGGTCACATGGGAGGGACCCAGCCCTTACAAGGTCATTTGTGGGATACCTTACACTAACAAGGTCATATGGGCGGGACCCAGCCCTTTCAAGGTCATTTGTGGGATACCTTACACTTACAAGGTCACATGGGAGGGACCCAGCCCTCACAAGGTCATTTGTGGGATACCTTACACTTACAAGGTCATTTGTGGGATACCTTACACTTACAAGGTCATATGGGAAGGATCCAATCCATCCCTTCCAACCCATACAAGGTCATTTTTGGGGAACCTTTTCCATGCAAAGTTTCCGAGAAACTTTTTGCTGCAGTTTAATGTTCGCCTTAGTCGCCCTCGGTAATACTGGCGAGTTTATCATTACAGCGAACATTAGTAAGCAACATGATATACATAGTAAAAAAAATATTGAAGGGCAAAATTAAAACTGGGCAAATATAGATTTTACTGGCGAAGGGTGAAAGTTCTACATGACGAAAATTACCTGGTATACATCACAGTAAGGGGAATCTCACCCGTTCAACTTCATGTTACATATCAAACATTGATAGGTTCAAGGCTTAGGTAATACTGGTACACTACAAGTCCTGTATTTGAAACTTTTCAGTATAGATTGTGAATCAAAACACTGGTACTGATGGGTTTGTTTCTGGTTTGTAGGCAGTGGGTACCAAGAAGCTGAGTGCTGTGAGCTATTTGTTGGAAAATGGTGCTAGGTGGGATACCAAAGACATTTTTGAAAACACAGCCGAAATGCAGGCAAGGAAACCGGGATATGAGGAAATCCTCCCTCTTATAGAGAAAAAGATACATGATGAGAAAGCTGGGGCCCTAACTTCTTAGATGTGGCACTACAAGAAGAATCAATGATGTGGCACTACAAGAAGAATCAATGATGTGGCACTACAAGAAGAATCAATTAAATATAAGTAAAGTAAGGGATTATGGGACTTAAATCCTGAAGTCCTGACTAGGAAGTTCCAAAACTCAAATCATTTGAATTCCAATTATTAAATACCTTGTCAGCTGACGTCCTGAAACTTGATATCATTCCACTGTGATATGTGTTGTCATTGAATTGTCATTTTGATTCGGGGAACAGTATTTACAAGGTAATGCCAAAACACAGTTGCTACTGGAATAAACAATTATTAGGTAATTTGTATAGTTCTCAGCAAGGCTTGGAGCTAACCAAATTTTCACACTCAGGGGCATAATTTCTGTATCCCTTATACCTATATATGATCGATGCTATTCAGACCTCTTCAGCCCAAATAAAATATAAAAGGGATAATGACGCTTGTTGATCTATCCAGATTTGTTTACATGATCTCGCTCAGTTGCAAGTCAGAGATTTGATTAATCTCATCCTAGGGTTGAGAGGGGGGGATTCCCCTATTCATAACAATGGTATGACGTCGCGTCAACAATCCATCACCGTAACGTTAACCCTGAATTTAGCCTTGAATGTTAACATTACGTTATGTATATGATATACAATGGGTGAACTTGGTAAGAGAAAAGGAATCATTCACCCCCTTGAGAATGAGATAAGGGAATCTTTCCCCTTGGGTTGAGATTCCGCTTATATTTCAACCCCAAGGGGATGAGAGTTTCCATTAATCACCCTTCTGTTACTTTTTCTGTACTGGTGCCGGTGAACTTGTTATCACAGAGTTGTTGTCAAAATGTTATCTCACAAGAGGGTGCACCTCCTGTTTTACTTCATTGTGTCCAAATGTTATCTCGCGCGAGTGTGGACCTCCTGTTTTACTTCATTGTGTCCAAATGTTATCTCACACGAGGGTGCACCTCCTGTTTTATTTCATTGTGTCCAAATGTTATCTCACATGAGTGTGGACCTCCTGTTTTACTTCATTGTGTCCAAATGTTATCTCACACGAGTGTGGACCTCCTGTTTTATTTCATTGTGTCCAAATGTTATCTCACACGAGGGTGCACCTCCTGTTTTACTTCATTGTGTCCAAATTATTTCATTGTGTCAAAATGTTATCTCACACGAGGGTGCACCTCCTGTTTTACTTCATTGTGTCCAAATTATTTCATTGTGTCAAAATGTTATCTCACACGAGGGTGCACCTCCTGTTTTACTTCATTGTGTCCAAATGATATCTCACACGAGGGTGGACATCCTGTTTTACTTCATTATGTTCAAATGTTATCTCACACGTGGGTGCACCTCCTGTTTTATTTCATTGTGTCCAAATGTTATCTCACATGAGTGTGGACCTCCTGTTTTACTTCATTATGTTCAAATGTTATCTCACACGAGTGTGGGCCTCCTGTTTTATTTCATTATTACCAAATGTTATCTCACGCGAAATGTGGACCTCCTGTTTTACTTCATTATGTTCAAATGTTATCTGGCCTCCTGTTTTATTTCATTATTACCAAATGTTATCTCACGCGAAATGTGGGCCTCCTGTTTTACTTCATTGTGTCCAAATGTTATCTCACACAAGTGTGGACCTCCTGTTTTATTTCATTATGTTCAAATGCTATCTCACATGAGTGTGGACCTCCTGTTTTACTTCATTGTGTCCAAATGTTATCTCGCATGAGTGTGGACCTCCTGTTTTATTTCATTGTGTCCAAATGTTATCTCACACGAGTGTGGGCCTCCTGTTTTATTTCATTATGTTCAAATGTTATCTCACACGAGTGTGGACCTCCTGTTTTATTTCATTGTGTCCAAATGTTATCTCACACGAGGGTGGACCTCCTGTTTTACTTCATTGTGTCCAAATGTTATCTCACACGAGTGTGGACCTCCTGTTTTATTTCATAATGTTCAAATGCTATCTCACATGAGTGTGGACCTCCTGTTTTACTTCATTGTGTCCATATGTTATCTCACACGAGTGCGGACCTCCTGTTTTTTTCTCACAATCGTTGTTAAAATGTTACTTTTTGTCTCAGGTAGTCATTATGCATTAATTTTTGGTTTGTGATAGTTTCCATTAATCACCCTTCTGTTACTTTTTCTGTACTGGTGCTGGTGAACTTGTTATCACAGAGGTGTTGTCAAAATGTTATCTCACACGAGTGTGGACCTCCTGTTTTATTTCATTATGTTCAAATGTTAACTCACACGAGTGTGGACCTCCTGTTTTACTTCATTGTGTCCAAATGTTATCTCACACGAGTGTGGACCTCCTGTTTTTTCTCACAATTGTTGTTAAAATGTTACTTTGTGTCTCAGGTAGTCATTATGCATTATTTTTTTGTTTGTGATTTCAATAATTTCTTTTGTTTTGCTTTTATCACTTAAATTATATTAGTTTTGTTTCATACCCGGTTATTTTATTTTTAAATATGGTTTATTTTCATGTATATTAAAGGTATTGAAGGCTTTAAATATGTGTTAACATTGTGTCTTGGTGAATTTGTGAAAAGTTAATGCTGAACATAATATTTACCTTAACCCTTTCACCCCTATGTAACTTTGGTAGTCTCGGCCATGCATTGATCTGGATGAGTCCATTATGATCTACAACGGTGAAAGGGTTAAGCACCTGTAGCACTTCTCATGTCATATTTGTCTTCTTTTAGTTCAAGTCCCATATTTTTCTGTCAAAAATTGTGTCTCTCGCTGGGTTTGCGGTATTTTATATTAACAGACAATTTTGTGGTATTTTATATTAACAGACATTTTTGTGGTATGGCTGTATGATATGGAAAGATCTCATTGTATTTTGATCTCTTCAAAATCCCAACCCGATAGGATTTGAACTAGCTAGCAGATGGTTTCTCTGTGTGGTATGAGTCTACTTTTAAATCCATGGGTTCTCAATTTTACATTGTCTCAAGGTGTGCAGTCTATACATTCACAACTATTCAATTTTTGATAAACAATGCAGCTGTTAGTTTAACAAAAACAGCTACTAATGGGCCCAATTTAAGTCTGAAACTATGTTTAAGCATTCGACTCGAATCAAGGATTTGTCTTAGGAATTTTTTCCCAGTAGGTCTAACTTGAATATAAAGCACTGTTTTATTAGCTCACCTGGCACGAAGCGGCGCCGTCCGTCCGGCGTCCTGCGTCAATATTTTACTTTAAATGACTTCTTCTTAATAACCAAAAGGCCTAGGGTGATGATATTTGGCCAGAAGCAAACTGGGATGAAGGGCTACAAAGTTTGTTAAAATTAATGACCTTCACCCATTTTCAAGGTCACAGGGGTCAAATATGTTAAAAACTTTTAACATCTTCTTCTCGATAACCAAATTGCCCAGGGAGACGTTATTTGGCCAGTAGCATGCTTGGGTGAAGGGCTACCAAGTTTGTTCGCATGAATGACCTTCAATTATATTCAAGGTCACAGGGGTCAATTGTCTTAAAAAACCTTCAAACAACTTCTTCTGAATAACCAAAATGCCCAGGGTGATGATATTTGGCCAGTAGCATGCTTACATGAAGGGCTACAAAGTTTGTTCAAATGAATGACCTTCACCCATATTCAAGGTCACAGGGGTCAAATATGTTAAAAACTTTAAACAACTTCTTCTGAATAACCAAAATGCCCAGGGTGATGATATTTAGTCAGTAGCATACTAGGATCAAGGGCTACCAAGTTTGTTTAAATGTATGACCTTGAATCATATTCAAGGTCACAAGGAGCAAATATGTTCAAAATATTTAAACAACTTGTTCTGAATAACCAAAAGGCTCAGGATGTTGATATTTAGTCAGTAGCATGCTGGGATCAAGGACTACTATGTTTGTTAAAGTGAATGACTTTGACTTATATTCAAGGTCAAAGGGGTCAAATTTGTTTAAAATCTTTAAACGACCTCTTCTGAATAACCATGGGTCCCAGGATGTTGGTACTTTGCAAGTTGCATCCTGAGATGAAAGGCTATAAAATTTGTTCAACATAATGACTTTGTTCGACTTTCAATCACAGGGGTGAAATGTTTTTAAAAAAATTAACAGGCTCTTTTGAATGAATTTTAATCATAAATACTGATATTTTGCCTGTAGCTTTATTTTAGATCACGTTTAAGGTTACAAGTGTGAGATTTATACCAGGTGAGCGATGCAGGCCCATTGGGCCTCTTGTATTTAGAAAATAACCATGCTGACACATATTTGTTTTCTTTTTTTGAATACCTTTGCAGTTAAACTAGAACTTGTATATCATACCTCTACAACTTCTCCCTGCTGGATACTTGTGATGCTGTAATTAGCCAAACACTGCTGTCAGAATTAAAAATGAAATATCAACTAACGTACAAGTTAATCTATTTAGGTAGACAGCCAGAAGCACTGAACAAGGATGTGCACTATATATACACATAGAATTTTTTTTCTACTTATTTATTTCTTTAGTATTACTACAATTACTGAAAATAACTGGGATTTTATGAAACACTGTTAGACTTATTTTAGTGCAATCAAATTTTAGTGCATAATGTCAAACACTAAGAGATCAGCACATCTAGCAATATATAGAAAAGAAAACCCTTTACAGAAACTTCAATTCGCGCAATAAATAAATAATACATTTATATAATACAAAAAGCACCAAAAAGGTTAAAACATTATCACTTAAATATGTTTGTTTACAGCAAAAATTGGTGCTTTAATTTTAGAAAACAGACTATTGTGAACAAAGAACACGAAAAGCAAGAGGTTTCCTTTTTTCAGCATTGTAATTATGTTTATTATCTTGTGTTTATGATGTCCAAGAAGTACTACAATGTACTGTTGTGACTGTCCTGTAATACCAGACATGAGAATGATGCAGAGTCCAGAGTCTTTTCAGCTAAAGGACAAGTTCAGCTAGAATAAATAATAAGATTAAGTATGAAAATAAGTGTGTTTATGTTACTGT